TCATGTGGGGAACATTGGCGGACGAGGAGAAGTCGCACACTTAAGGCGTGAGAGGTGGATTACGAGTAGGAGGGTATGAGGGTGAGGAGGAAGGGATGCCTGCGCGGTGTCCTGCTGCGCGCCGCTGTTCTTGTCGTCCTCGTCCTCGCCCTGGACGCCCTTGTTGCTGCCCGTGCCGCCCTCGCCCTCGGCGGTGGTCACCTGCTTGCCGTTGCCGCTGCCACGGCCGCGGCCACCGCGGCCGCGGGCGCCAGCGCTGCTGGCGCCCTTGCCGCTGGCCTTCTCGCCGTCGTTCTCCTCCTCGGGGGCCTCCTGCTTGCTGTTGCTCTTGCCCCTGCCCCTGCCGCGGCGGCCGCGGCCACGGCCACGGCCCGCGCCGTCGGCGTCACCAGCTCCGTCCGAGCCCTTGTCGATGCCCTTCTCGCCGTCGACGCTCTCGCCGTCGCCAGGGCCGCCCTTGCTCTTGCGCTTCCTGGCCTTGCCGCCCTTGGCGCCCTCGGCCTCGCCAGCGCCGTCCGCGCCCTTCAGCGTCTTGGCGTCGTCGCCCTTGGCGCCATCGCCGCCGCCAGCGCCGTCCGAGCCCTTGCCGTTGCCCTTCGGCTCCTTGGAGCCGCTGCCCACGTCGTCGGTGTTCTTCGTCTTCCCCAGCGGCGTCCGATCGGACCTCTGCGTCGGCTTCTGCGCGTCCTTGCACTTCATGTTATTGCACATCCACCTGTCGCCATCGTTCCAGATGAACACAGCGGCGCCGTCGCGCGCCGCGCAGACCTGGTCCGCTGGGAACGCGTCGACCCGACGGAAGGCCCACTTCTTGATGACGATGAAGTCGCACTCCTCGCTCGACGCCTCGGCGGAGGGCACGACGCTGGTCGTTGCGCACCTCCCCCATCGCCGCCTCGCTCTCCCGCCCGATCAGAGGTAGAAGGTCTGCCATCCAGGGGCACAGGCGTGCCCTGGGTTGCCGACCCCCTACCTCCGAGCGGGCGCGCGGGCGAAGGAGGCGCGGGGGAAGTGCGGGATGACCAGTGCCGTCCCCGTCGTCGTCGTTGTCTTCATCGTCGTCGTGGTCGTCGTCGTCGTCGTCGTCGTTGTCGTCGTCGACGTCGTCGTCGTCGTGGTCGTCGTCGTCGTCGTCGTCGTCGTGGTCGTCGTCGTGGTCGTCGTCGTCGTACGCCTCCGACTCCGCGGGCACGTCGGACTCCTCGTCCCTGAGCGGCGCCACCGGCGGGCGGACCGCGCCCGCGATCGGGGCGATCGAGCTGGACGAGCCGTGTGGGTGGCTGTCCTCGAGCGGCGGCTCCACAGCGCTGCCGCCTTCGAGGGTGGGGGTGCGGAGTCGGAGCACGGTGTAGGGGTTTAATCAGGGTCGTAAGGGTTAGAGGTGGGTGAGCAGGGTTAGGGTCTGGCCGTTGGGGCGTGGTTAAGTCTAGGGTGCCAGGGCTATGGTTGGGTAATCGTTAGGGTGCTGTGGGGTGTGGCTAGGGTGCGGTCATGGCCAGGGGGTGTGGATGGGGTTAGGGTGCTGTTATGTTGGTTAACTCCTCCTCCGCGCACTCCTACCCCTACGCCTGCCCCTGCTTATATCACCCCTGCTTCTACCTCTGCTGCCCCAGCCCTACTCTTACCGCCAACTCCTACTCCTACCTCTATTCCTACCGCTGCTCCTACCCCTACCCCCACCACTCCGCTGCCTCCTACTTCTACCATTACTCCTACACCTACTCTTGCCCCCCTGTGCTAGGTGTTATGGCCAGGGCAGCCGCATATCCCTACTCCTATTCCGCCTACCCCTAGATAGGGGTAGGCGGAATAGGAGTAGGGATAGATATATATATATATATATAGGGGTAGCCCGAATAGGGGTACCCCTAGATAGGGGTAGACTGAATTGATCTAGGAGTAGGCGGTGTGTACATATATATATATATATATACACACACACACTCCGCCTACTCCTAGATCAATTCAATCCCATCCCACACCTAGCGGGATGAGGTCGCCCGCTTCGTCGGACATCAGTGAGTCCTCGTCGGAGTTGGACCCCTGCCACATGGCGACGATCCTCCCCTGCTCGGCGGCACGCTTCTTGGCGGCCTCGACGCGAGCCTTCTTCTCCTTGGCCGTCTCCTTGGCCGCCTGCTTGGCGCTCGGGCGCACCTTCGCCTCGGCAGCGCGGGACATGCGCCTGTCGAGCTCGGGCGGGATGTGGTAGCCGAGCCTCGTCGGCGCCGTCGTCGCCGTCATCGTCGACGTCGTCGCCGTCGTCGCCGTCGTCGTCGTCGTCGACGTCGTCGTCGTCGACGTCGTCATCGACGTCGCCGCCGTCGTCGTCGCCGTCGCCGTGATCGTCTTCGTCGTCGACGTCGTCGGCGTCGTCTTCGTCGTCGACGTCGCCGCCGTCGTCGTCGTCGTCGCCGCCGCCGCCGTCGTCGCCGTCGTCGTCGTCGTCTTCGTCGTCGTCGTCTTCTTCGTCATCGTCGTCGGCGTCGTCGTCGTCGTCGACGTCGTCGTCGCCGTCGTCGGCGTCGTCGGCGTCGTCGCGCCTGCGGATGCGGCGCCAGCCCGCCACAACCGTGAGGATCTTCTTGGCCTCCGAGCAGACCGTCGTGGGGTCCGCCCTCGGGAGAACCTGGGCCGTCACCCCCTACTCCTTATCCTCATCCTCTCCCCCGCCCCCATCCTCGTCCTCTTCATCCTCGCACCTCGATCCTCCAGACTCCTGTCCCCCTCCCCCCATGCTAACGCTACTCGCACTCGCCTCCTCCTCTTCCTCGCCTCCTCACTCCCACTCCTCCTCGTCATGCGCTCACCCTGCAATTCCTGGTTTTCCTCGTTCCCCTTTCCACGACTTACTCTTCATCATCCATCCGTTTCCTCATCGGCCTCCTCCTTTCATCATACCCTGATCGGCATCATCGGCCTCTCCTCGTCCTCCTTTTCCTCTTCCTCCTAATCTTCCGTCTTCTGGGCCTCCCCAAAGCCCCCTCTGAGGGGATGCGGACTTCTTCCTCTCTTGTCCGCCCTCTCTTTCTTTGGCAGTGGCGCTCCTCCTCTTCCTCCTCGTCATCCTCCTTCTCCTCCTATTCCTCCTCGTCCTCCTCCTCTTCCTCCTCCCTCCTCCTCCCCCTACTCCTCCTCCCGCCTCCTCCTCCTATTTTTTCCCCTCATCCCCAGACCAATGGAAACCCAATGGGACCTTCCACCCCTACCTCGAGGTGGAGGGTGAAAGTATGGAAGGTGAAAGTGGATCCACTTTAAAGTGGATCCACTGCCACCTTCCATAATGTCGGGCTCCCGCGGAAGCTGCGCAAGGTTTCCATGAATGAATGGAAGCCTTGCGTAATGCATGGGGTTGACGGTTAGGGTTGAAGGTCCAGAAGAATGAGGGTGGGGGGGGGTTTCATCGTCCTCCGTTTCGTCCTCATCGGCCTCCTCATTCTTCTGTTCCTCCCGTCGCGCCTCGTGGACCGCTTGTTCGTACATGTCCAGGTCCCACAGGAGGCTTGGCCGCTGGCTGGCCATGTGCTTCAGAGGGCGCCACCAGCCGCTCGTGAGCAAGAACTCGCACAAGCCCCCTAGTGGGGGATAGACACCATACCGATGCCGATGCTGCCCCTTCACTTCCCCACCTTTTTGCGGAAGGTGAGGATGTGAGCGGGGAGCATCGGCATCGGTATGGCGTTTCCCCTTCTGGCCTGTTTTCTTGCTCGTCCTCGCCCACCCGCAGAGCGGGACGGTGAGCGGCCGCAGCCGAAACGCCGCGACCAGCACGGCGGGCGAGTCCATGAGGGGAAGGACGAGGGCGAGGACGAGGGCGAGGACGCGGGCGAGGCGGCGCGAGCCGAAGCTGCGGGAGGGAGGGAGGATGACAGGAGGTGGGCAGTCATCGTTACCTTCGCGCCCCTGCGGGTTTCCTCATCCTCATCCCCGTCCTCGTCCCCATCCGCATCTTCATCCTCATCCTTCCCTTCCTCCCTCCCTCGATCCCTCCTCTCTTCTCTTTCTCCCCCTCTTCTCTCCCTCCTCCTCCCCCTCATCATCATCGTCATCATCGGCATCATCATTAGTCTGGTCGTCGTCATCGACATTACCATCATAATCAGCATCAGCATAATCATCATAATCGTCGTCATCATCATGCACCTCACCATGATCACCATCACCACCATCAGCACCATCACCATCAGCACCATCTATCACCATCATCAACATCATCATCACCATCATCGTCATCACCACCATCATCGTAAGCATCATCATCTTCGTTGTCATCGTCATCATCAGTCTGGTCAGCATCATCATGCACACCATTGTCATCGTCGTCATCATCATCATAACCATCATCATCACCATCGTAATCATCATCACCATCGCCATCAGCATCATCACCATCATGATCCCCATCACCAGCACCATCATCATTACCATCATCGTCATCGCCACGCTCCAACAACATGGACAAACTTAACCCGAGAGCAGCAACATACCATCACATAATTAACACGAGTTACGAACACAAGCAAAGACATTCAAAGACATCCAAAGACATTCAAGACATTCCAAGACATCCAAAGACATTTCAAGACACGCATCACCTTCCTCACCTTCCGCGCAGGTCGGAAGGTCTGGAAGAATGAGATGGAGGGGTTACCGGGGCCAAACACCCCCCCCTTCCCCGGATAAAGCTAACGATCTTCCGGGATGGGGGGGGGCCTGGATGCTGGGGTGTGTTGAGCTGGTGGCGCGGACGCACCCCAGCGGGTGCACTCCGCGGCCGCCATGACTGTTGCCCTGCCGCCCGACCCCCTCCCCCTCCGCCTCCTCCTCCTCCTCCTCCTCCTCCTCCTCATCCTCCTCTTTCTACTCCTCCTCCTTATACTCCTCCTCCTCCTCCTCCTCCTCCTCAACCTCCTCCTCCTCCTCCCTGGGAGTGAAACAAGAACGGCCACCGTCTGCTCTCCCCTGGGCTGTTTGTTCGCCCGCCTCGGCGCCCCCGAGAGGAGGAGGTCCTCGCGCACTGGAGGGACATCTTTGGAGAGCAAGTCGCGGGGAGTTCTGCTCGTCTCGGCTGGAGTGCGTGTCGGCGAGCCGCGCCCCCTAGCGCTCCATTGGCGCCAGCTGGCCCCGACTGGGGTCCAGCAGCGCCGAGTGGCGCTCAGGTAGCTCCCAACACACGCCAGTCGTTAAAAAGTATGTATTTGTGGATACCCAGATCCCAATCTACTTCGAGCGCCTTCCTACTTCAATCATCCATATGCTTCTGCAGTGATTGTTATTATGTGGCAGGGTCTGAGCCCAATCTACTGTATCCGCCTTCCTACTCCATGTTTTTACGTACGTCTTCCGACCAGCGTGTAGCGACCAATAGCGCCCTTTAGTGCGGGCGATGCGCTGTCGAGCGCAGTCGGTCGCCGGTATTGGGCGCGCTAGCAGGTGCCATGGGGACGACCGAACGCTTCCGTGAGTTGCTGTCTACCCATCTCGAGGAAGAATCAGCGCGCATACATAGGCTGTCGTAGCTCCGCACGGGTTTCTGGGAGCGGTGCTGGACTCCCCTCGCCTGGCGGCACCTCCGGCGCCGCCCCTGGGACGCTCGGCGCGCTAGGGAGGGAGTTCCAGCGCCGATCCAAAAGACATCCGAGCGGAGCTCTGAAAGCATGTGCTTGCGCAGTCTGCTTCGCTTTCCTCAAGCATCGACGCCTTCCGAGAGTGCCTGCGTCAGTCCGAGGGCAGGCCACCCTTCACCTTCTACGATGGGCCTCCCTTTGCCACGGGGCTGCCGCACTACGGCCACATACTGGCGGGGACCATAAAGGACGTGATCACGCGGCACGCGCACCAGCGCGGCTTCCATGTGGAGCGCCGCTTCGGCTGGGACTGCCACGGCGTGCCCGTGGAAGGCATCATAGACGCGAGGCTCAAGTCGAAGAAGAAAAAAACATAGAAACAGAAACTTTTGGCGCTCCGCGCGAATTTCTTGGATTCGCGCTGGGGCTCCCCCGGCGGCGCCTTCGGCGCCGCCCCTGGCACGCTCCGCGCGCCAGGGAAGGGGGTACAGCGCGAATCCAAGAAATTCGCTCGGAGCGCCAAAAGTTTATGTTTATATGGAATTTCCTTCGTCTATCAAGATCAGAGGGCGCGCGGATGTTCTGGCAATGGGAATCGCGGCCTACAATGAAGAGTGTCGCGCAATTGTCCAGCAGTACACTGCCGACTGGAGAAAGGTTGTCGAGCGTTTCGGCCGTTGGGTCGACTTCGATGACAATTATAAGACCATGGACTTGAGCTACATGGAGAGTGTCTGGTGGGTCTTCAAGCAGCTGTTCGATAAAGGCCTGGTCTACAGGTCATTCCATGTTACCGCGTATAGCACCAGTCTTGGCACGCCTCTATCCAACTTCGAGGTACAAATGAATTACAAAGAGGTTTCGGATCCATCGATCATCGTGAAGTTCAAATGTGTGGACAGGCGAGATGCCTGGATCCTGGCGTGGACCACGACTCCATGGACGCTGCCGTCAAATCTTGCCTTGTGCGTCCACCCTGCGCTGACGTACTTGCGAGTGCGGAGCCGGCGCGATGGGCAGGAGTGGATCGTTGGGAGGGAGCGGTGGCCTTGGATTTGCTCGCTGTTGAAAGTGGACGAAGAGAGGGATTTCGAGAAGGTGGAGGAACTGAGCGGCAGAGAGCTGGTCGGAACGCTTTACGAGCCCCCTTTCGACTATTTTCGTGGCGTGGTGCGGGAGGACAGGTGCTGGCGCGTGGTGGCGGACGAGTACGTCTCCGAGAGCGCGGGCACGATGATCGTGCACCAGGCACCTGCGTTCGGGGAGGATGACTTCAGGGTGTGCGTTCAGCACGGCATCATCGAGAGGGACGGCGTTGGCATGGTGGATCCTGTCGACAGCAGCGGGTGTTTCACAGGCGACGTCCCAGATTTCGCGGGCCAGCATGTGAAAGAGGCGGACAGGGGTATCCGGGCATCGCTCAAGAAGAGGGGGACTTTGTTGTTCAACGGCAACGAGGTACATAACTACCCCCACTGCTGGCGTTCCGACACGCCCTTGATCTTCAGGGCCGTCCCAGCCTGGTTCGTCAAGGTTGCGGAGCACCGCGAAAGGCTTGTCAGGAACAACGATCTCACGTATTGGGTTCCTGCTCACGTCAAGGAGAAGCGGTTCCACAACTGGCTCAGCGAAGCGCGCGATTGGTGCGTATCCCGCAGCCGCTACTGGGGTGCGCCCCTGCCCATGTGGGTATCCGATGACTTCGAGGAGGTGGTCTGTGTCGGAAGCATCTCGGAGCTAGAGGGGTACGCGGGACGCACGATCGGTGACATCCACCGTCACCACATCGACGACATCACCATACCATCCAAGAAAGGAAAGGGTGTACTTAGACGAGTCGATGAGGTGTTCGACTGCTGGTTCGAAAGCGGATCCATGCCGTACGCTCAGCAGCACTTCCCTTTTGAGAACAAAGAGTCATTCGCTCGCTCCTTCCCAGCAGACTTCATCGCCGAAGGCCTGGACCAGACCAGAGGCTGGTTTTATTCCCTCATGGTCTTGTCCACTCTCCTCTTCGACAAGCCGCCGTGGCAGAACATCATCGTGAACGGCCTCGTCCTGGCCGCCGACGGGAAGAAGATGAGCAAGCGGCTGCAGAACTACCCCGACCCGGTCGCGATGTGCGACCGCTACGGCGCAGACGCTGTGAGGATGTACATGTGCAGCTCACCGGTGGTGAGGGCCGAGCCCCTCAGATTCAAGGAGGATCTGGGGAAGAACGCGGACCACCACCACCGAGAATCCACAGAGTCGGGGGGGGCCGACCCCCTTGGCGGTGGCACCTTTCGAGCGTCGCTCCAATGCAAGACGGCGCTCAGGCGTGCCACCGCTCAGGGGCCGGTCTCGGTGGCGGTGGTTCATGTGCCTCCTCGGCGAGGAGGGGCTGAGGGACGTCGTGAAGGATGTCTTCCTGCCCTGGTACAACGCCTACCGCTTCCTCGTGATCGAGGCGACGCGCTTCGAGCTGAGCGGTTCGCGATTCGCTGCAGACAGTGGCCGCGTCATGGCCAGTCCGAATTTGATGGACAGGTGGATCAACGCGTCGCTGCATAACCTCATCAGGTTCGTGCGCGAGGAGATGATACCTGGCTATCGTCTCTACACCGTCATGGGCGGGCTGACCAGCTTGCTCGAGGATCTCACGAACTGGTATGTCAGGCTCAACCGTGACCGGATGCGCGGGAAGGGCGGTTCCGACGAGGCGTTGACCTCCTTGTGCACCCTGTTCGAAGTACTGCTGAATGTGTCCGTGCTTCTGGCACCTGTCACCCCGTTCCTCTCGGAGCACATGTATCGGAACTTGGCCAGGGCGCTCCCTGTTGGGCACCCCATGAAGGCGGGGTCTGTACATTTCGTCATGGTGCCCGAGCACAACACTCACGCACTCGACCCTGCCATCCAGACGGCGGTTTCGCGGATGCGGTCCGTGGTCGAGTTGGGCCGCGGTTGCAGGGAGCAGAGGAAGGTTGGTTTAAAGACGCCGTTGAGGAGCATGACCGTCTACAACCAGGATCCGGCATTCTTGGAAGACATCCGGGGTTTGCAGCCGTACATCGAGCAGGAGCTCGGTGTGTTGGCAGTGGTGTATTCCGAGGAGTCCGGTAAGTTCGAATTGATCCCGTCCCTGAATTTCCCGCTCCTCGGGAAGAGGTTGGGCAAAGGAATGCGAGCCGTGCAGGAAGCGGTAAAGAGCTTGAGCCAGCACGACCTTGCGGAGTTCCAGGCTTCTGGATTGATTACCGTGTGTGGAGTGCACCTGAACTCCGCGGAGTTGCTCTTGACGCGGAGGATCCTGCATGGACCAGAGGACTCAAATCTGCATGCAAATTGGGATTTCAGCACCGTGATTGTCATGGATTTCGCTCCAGATGAAGACCTCCGGCGCATGGCCACCTCACGAGACGTCGCAAACAAGATCCAGAAGCTCCGCAAGGATGCCGGCTTGCAGCCGGGCGCTGCTGTGGACATGTGGGCCGAGGTAGTGCAAGCCAGGGACGATTCCCATCTGCGAGACGTGCTTGACAAGAAGGAGGATTATATTAACGAGTTGGTGCGATGGAGGCTGCGCAGCAATTCAACGTGGGATCCACGCGCAGAGATCCTGAACCAGGGCGTCTACAGCATAGAGGAGGAGGAGCTTCGCTTGACCATCACGCGGCGCATGCCACTCGACCCGCCAGGCGGCTGATGGCGCAAGCTGTGCTTGACAGGCCAAGTTGGCCCCGCGCCCGCGTGGCTCCTCGGGGATCAAAGGAGACGTGGTGGGGTGTTGTGTCTGGACGAGCTGGCAAACTTCATCAACAGGATGCCGCATTTGATCAAGGATCCCGTTGCATCAACAGATCCCTATTCGGCCCGTCTTTGGCCCATTGCGGCCCTGCGCCGCTGTCATCGCTTCAACATGGACGCCCACGGGCATTGCGGTATTCACGCCAGTCGTCTTACCGTGTGCGTTTTTGTTCAAGACGCATCGCGTTCACCGCCCAGCTTTTTCGGTCTTGATGGGCGAGCCGCAGATGCCCCCGAAGACGGGCTGTGGACACGCCAAGGCCCCCCAGGAGGTCGACTCCAAAAGGTTTCGAAATTGCCCAAGGACGGGCCGACAGGTCCCTGAGCAGGCCAAAGAGGGGTCAAGGTGGGCCCAGCCCGGCTCAGCAGGATATCCAGCATTCCAAGTGCGAGCATTCCCGTCTCGGGTCCCACGTTGGGTCCTGAGCCGTCCAACATAAATTCTGGAGCGTGCCCAAAACAGGACATCAGGACACATACAACATAAACATAAATTTTCATCGCTCCGTGCGGATTTCTTGGACCTGCTTTGTGCCCCCCGTGCGGCGCCTCTGGCGCCGCCCCTGGCGCGCTCCGCGCGACAGGCCGGGGGGTCCAGCTCAGATCCAAGAAATCCGCGCGGACCGTCACAAGTCTATGTGTATACCGGCTTTCGTTTTTCTACAAGAGGAATACACCACATTCGAATCCGACAGCATGCTCTGCGAGGCGCCTGTGCGACCCCCAGGTTGGCAGACGAAAACACCTAACAAGGCACCGCATGGTTTTGCTAAATGTGTGTATGGTGTGTTCGACGTGTCGGGGCAGAGTTCTGCCGAAGGGGCAGAGGCGGTTCCTGGGGTGCCCAGAGGGCTAACCTAACTAGAAGTCCAAGGCAGCGCCCACGGGAGGGCAACAGGGACAGCAAGTCGGTCCAGCAAGGCGTGTAGGGGGACGCTCTCGAAGCCGTGCTCGCCTTGACCGCCACAGAGCGGGGTGGAGGGCAGCGGGCGGCCGATCGGCGGAGCTCGTTTTTGGGCCACGCCGGGGGGGCTGCAGCCCTGACGCGCAGTCTCCCCGTGGAGTCCTGTGCGCCCGGTGGGCGGGCGGGCTCCAGTCAGGAGGGAAAGAAACACACAGACACAATTAAACGTCGATTCCCCAGAAAACATGGGAAAATATTGGAAGTGGGGGGGGGGGGAAGACAGAGACCCCGAAAATATGGGAACATATGGGGACTATTTTTATGTGTGTGTGTGTATTTATTTGCGTGACCTGGTGCCCCTGCATCCAGAGGCTTCCAGCTGTTCATCCCGCCGTCTCCGAGGGGATGGGGTACCCGTGACGATGTTCTGATGTGCGCCGCTGCCCCAGGGAGCGTCAGAAGGACGCATTGGTGGGATGCGAGGGGTTCTGAACGGGGCACAGCGCTCGGAGTAGGATGAGGATAAGGAAGCCGAGCAGCACGTGGAGGTCGATCACAAAGGAGATGTTGAGGTCGAGGGAGAAGCAGAGAACTCGTTTGGCGTGCTGTCGTTGGCGTCGTCGGCGTGTGGAGTGCTCCCTGACGGCGCTGCCAACGAGCGGAGGCACCAGATGTTCAGTTTGGGCAGAGCGGGAGCCGCAGTGGTCCGACTGGGCCGGCTGGCACGCAGATTTGTTTTTTTCTGTCTGTTCGGGTATCCCCACTGGCCCATCGAGAAGCAATGTCGAGGCGAGTTGTCGGGAGAGCGGGCACAGATCACACGATCCAGTAGTGAAGCAAATGGACCAGTGATCGTGAACTCGGAGGCCTTCAGGATCTTCCTTGAGCCATGCTGGAGTTCTCTTGGAGCCCTCATGTCAGCCTTGCAGGCGATGTTGGGGCTCTGTCAAGGCTCTTCCTTGGGGCTCTGCAAGCCATCGTGGGGCCGTCCGGGTCCTTTAAGTACGCCAGGGCCCGAAACGTTGATTCATGCTCGTTGGGCGCTCGTGGACGCCATTTGGGCCACATTGGTCCCGTCTGAGCTCTCCGTGGAGCTCTCTGACGCGTTATTGGGGCCACCATGAGGCCTCGGAAGCCCATCTGAAGCGAAAATGTGCGCAGGCAAACATACTTAGGTGACACAGAATTCGGGTTTTGAGTGGTTTGGGCATCTCAAGGCCGTCGCTTAGCGGTCTTGGTAGCAAGGCGGGCGAGTTTTCCAGCCAGTGCGTGGCCAGGTGCTCACCGTGCCCGTCTTCTCAGATGCCCTCAAGGCGGCCGGGGACGACCAGACAGGACGATCGAGACAAGAGCAAACGAGACCAGGCGAGACAAGACACGCCGAGACAGCCTCCAGGACGCGGCCCAGGACGTCCTCGAAGACGTCCAAAGAGGGCCCCCGACAGGCCCAAGTCTCGCAGCACGCATGGAAGCTCCGTGAGCTGTGCCTTCTCGCTGCCTCGCTCCAGGAAGGGCTCCAGAGGCCTCAAGATGGCCTCGAGATGGCCTCGAGGTGGCCTCGAGATGACGCCAGCAGAGCCCCAAGGCGCGCTCCGGAGCGGCCCGAGGCGGCCCTGGGAAACCCCCCTAAAGGGGGGCGCAACAAGAGAGGCCCAGGCGGGCGTCAATGGCGCCAGGCCGCCGCCTCCCCCTCGTCCTCCCCCTCTCCCCCCCTCCTCCCTTCTCCCCCCTCCTCCTCCCTCTTCCTTCCTGTTCCCTCCTCCTCTCTTTTCCCGCCTCCTCCTCCTCCCCTCCTCCACCTCCTCCTCTTCTTTCCCATGCAGGGAGGCCCTCGTCTGAGAGCCACGCCTTCTCCTCCTCCTCCTCCTCCTCCTCCTCCTCCTCCTCCTCCTCCTCTTCCTCTTCCTCCTCCTCCTCCTCCTCCGCGTAGGGGGGCGGGGGTGCTCCTTCGCGAAACCGCCCACGCCCGGAGGGCCACTGGGACTGGTCAGCCTACTGGGCGTGTGCGCCGTCCCGCACGCGGCCCCACCGCGCATGCGCGCTTGCCCAGACCTGCCTCGGGGCCCTCTCGGGGCTGTGCTGCGGGCTCTCGTGGGCGTCCACTGGCGGAGGTTGCGGTAGCTCTGGCACATCTCGTGGACGACTCGTGGCCGGTTGGGGGAGCGTTCGGGGACGTCTTGGGTTGCCTATTGGCCGTCGTTTGAGTCTCTGGGTCAATATTGGAGGCGCTGTGGTTCGCCTTTGGATTTCTCGGGGGTCTCTTGGCCCCTTCAGAGGTCCCTGCGAAAGGTAGGAAGCGCAAGAACAGGACAGCACCCAACACACTGCTGAAGATTGCCGGTTCTCGCCTCGGCTTGCCACCATATTCGGGCCTTCTCGTCCACTTGCGAGGGAGGCTGGACGTCGATGCTGGAAGCGTCCGTGGGCCCGGAAGGTGCGTTGGGGGTCTGATTCTTGATTGATGTTTTTGCCTGCTGGGCAGTGCGCCAGTCATCTCACGCCTTTTCTCACCCCGGGCCCGCGGGGGCCTGCGGACTGCATGTTGGAGGGCGGAGACTCGGAGAGCCCAGCGGTGTTCCTGCTTCAGGAGGGAAAAACACACACAGGCACAATGAATCGTCGATCCCCAGAAACATATGGGAAAATATGGGACGTGGGGGGGAAGACAAAAACTCCGAAAATACCAGAAAATATAGGGGATCTGGTTATTTGTGTGTATTTATTTGTGTGTCCCACTGCTCTGCTGCGCCCCTCCTGCCCTCCCTCCGCGGCGCCGGGCCCCTCCCCACGGCGCTCGGCCAGGCCGCCGGGCTGTCCTCCCAGTGTCAGAAGCTCGAGCTGCGCATGCAGGAGACAGGGTGCCTCTCTAGGCTTAAAGTAGGGCCTGTCCCCCTACAGGGGGATTTTCGACGAAAAATAAAAAATACCCCCAATATAAAAAAAAGATAATCCCAAAATAGTCTGGGGACTATTATTTGAATATTTTCTCACCTTTTTGGGGTGTTTGTAGGGTATTTTTTAAATTTTTCGTCGAATATCCTTCTGCAGGGGGACAGGCCCGACAGAACTCTGGGCCTCCCCGAGGGGTGGAATCCGAGCAGATGGGCTCGGAGGACCGCGCCGCACCGGCGCTGCGCATCGGCGACGCGGCGAGACGCGGAGCCCGACTTTCTTCCTCCAACCCCGGCGTCGTGGGATGCATCGCCGACGTCGCCGATGCATCGCCAGTGCATCGGCTATACATCAGGGATGCGCTGCGATCCTCCGATCCCCCCCCGTCGGCCCCCCCCCCGTTCTGGGTAGTCGAAGGCCAGACTGTCAGATTGGATTGGGCCCCCAGGGCCAATCTGGCCCGGCCAAACTGGAGGATTTGGGTTATTCGCCAGACTGGATTCGCGTTGGCTCCCTCGCCAGATTGCCCCCGTTTGCCAGATTGGGCCTGCCAGATTGGAGCCAGATTGGCTTCGACTACCCAGCCGTTGTCACTCAGGGGGGGTGGAAGCACAGCGCTCCCGGCGGCGAAGGACGTATTATTGTTGCCCACCCTCGGCATTGTGACCCCCAGCCGGGGCCCGTGGACTCCTCCACGTGCCCGTTCGGGCCGGACGAAAGGGGGAGGTTGGGAAATGGGGGGTTACGAAATCTGCTGCATGCAGCTGGTTTCGGCCCCACCAAGGGGCCCACTCCTCGATACATAGCTGCCTCCGGCGCGGGGAGGCGCCGGGAAAATCAGCTACGTGAGCTCATTCTCAACCCCCCCCTTTGCTACCCCCCCCTTTCGCCTGGCCCGAGTGACACCTCCACAGGCCCGCGGACACATCCACAGGCGGCGCTTCAGCTCTGCTTCGTTCCGCTGCCTTCTGCTGCTCGCGCCCATGCGGAGACCTCTGGCGGAGATGAGCCGCCCAGTCGTGCATCGTTCTTTACTTCAGTTGTTTGTTTGTTTTGTCGTTGAAAAAACATTATCGGACTACCCCTTCTGGGACGCCTCTGTGCCGCCCCCCACCACCACCACCACCACCACCACCACCACCACCACCACCACCACCACCCCACCACCACCACCACCACCACCACCACCACCACCACCACCACCACCACCACCACCCACCACCACCACCACCACCACCACCACCACCACCACCACCACCACCACCACCACCACCACCACCACCACCACCACCACCACCACCACCACCACCACCACCACCACCACCACCACCACCACCACCACCACCACCTCCAGTCCTCCTCTGCCTCCGGCCCAGGGTGCGGTGGCGACGTGCCCCTCGGGCCATGTCCCTCGGACGCCGTGCTGGCCGGCGTACGGCGCTCGCGCAGCGGCACGCTGAGACATCCAGTGGAGGAGCAGATATACGTTTACAGTCGGACCGAGGGAGAAGATCGAGGTCGGTTCGGGGAGGGTACCCATACCGTTCTTCGTGTTTGTTGTATGCTCTTGTGCGTCCTGGGGAGGGTACCCTTAGATGTTCTGCTCTGCCAGAGGCCACGGGACTGCGGCGGTCAGAACAGCGCCCCATTCTGGTGGGCAGAG